ACACACACACACACACACACACACACACACACACACACACACGACTGGTTTGAGACTTTGAGTACCTGTATCATTCACAGCCTGGGAAGGACTTGGTAGGATTCAGTGAGTATCCAGGTGGAAGAGCGGTTATAGATCATGGTTGAAGCACATCATCATTTCTCATTGGTTTGTTTCTACTATACCAAGACCTAATGGGTTTATGCCTGTTGCCTCACCCCTCCACACTGCCCACTCCTTCCAGCAGTCCCTCTCCCCATCCACACTGGCCTCCTTTCTGTTTCTCATGTACATACAAGATCTCTCCCACCCTGAGGCTCACCTGAAGTCTTTTTCCCTCTTACTGGACTTTTCTCCCCACTAGTCTATTGTAGCTTTTTCATACTCATCCTCTTCTTCCTTTTTTAAATAAAAAATTTGGTGACAATATGCACAACAAAACATATGCCACACCAACAACTTCTTCATAAACCATTCACTGATATCAGTTATCTTCTTTTTTTTTTCAGTTACATTTTTCAAGCGGTGCTATCTTTCTTTCTTTCTTTTTTTGGTTCCATTAAACCGTATTTATTTCAATAATTCGTGTGTAGTTAAAAATCATTTTATTGGGGGCACTTATAGCTCTTATAGCAATCCACATGTACTATTTTTCTTGACAACCTTTTCACTAACATTAACACCAACTCACCGCTTTCCCTTAAGCTGCTCATCCATTCTTTTGCATTGTTTTGGTCAATATGATCCCATATAGATAGCTCTCAAAAACAGTATGATGTGTAATGCAGATTTTCTTTTCTAATTCGTCAAAACTATTGCTTGGTTCAAAGAAAACTTCAGGGGATGCTTTCGGTTCAAGATGTAAAGATTTCCTCAGGGTAATAGTTCTTTGGAGCCATCAGGCCTTAATGGGTTTAAAAATCTGAATAATAAGAGAATTTGACCCCTTTTAAACAAGATGCTTCTATAGAATTCTTGCTCTAAATGTTCAGTATTGGTAACTGACACCATCTAATTATTCTGGCCTCATGGTAAGTGAGGATGCTCCTTATGGCAACCACTGAACTTTCCTACTAATCTGTATCTGATCCATCCTTAGGAAGACCCTTCATGACTATCATCCTCCCTTCTCTTTCCTGGCACATATTACTATTTGCTTTCATGTGCTTACTCATATTAACATGTCCATGTGTTCAAAGCCCATTCCCTGCTTCCCTGTAAGCTTCATGCAATACCCAAGAGGATGCCTGCTTCCATCACTACTGTGCCTGGATATAAACTTACCCAAACCCAGACCATTGCTGTCGACTTGATTCCAAGTCTTAGCAACCCAATGGAGGGCTTCCCTAGGCGCTGTAAATTTTTATGGGAGCAGATAGTCTCATTTCTCTCCCAAGGAGCAGGTGGTGGGTTTGAAATTCTCACCTTGCAGTGAGCTGTTCAATCCTTTCCTAATAGAATCACCAGGAATGCTATGGCTATAGGATGGGCTCAATAAATACTGTTGAATGAATGAAGGAATAAATGAGTGAATAAAAGCCTGTGCTCAAAGATGGTCAAGAGATTGCTATTATGGGAGATTTGTGTCCCATACTAGATCCCCCAAGCCAATTTGTTCTCTAAAATTTTTTTATTAAAAGATCATTTTATTGGGGGCTTATACAACTCTTGTCACAATCCATACATCGTTTGCATCAGGTGAATTTTTACATATGTTGCCTTCTTTTCTAGACATTTACTTTCTACTGAGGCCTTGGTATAAGCTCCCCCCCCCTCCTTCCACCACCTTCATAACCCCTTGTTACGTAGATTGCACATTGCTATTATTTTCATCTTTCATACCGCCCGCTGTCTTCCTTCCCGTGTTTTCTGTTGTTCTTCCCCCTTGAGAGGGGTGTATGGTTGTGTGTCGATCATTGTGATAGGTTCCCCCTTTCTCCCGTCCTCTCTCCCTCTTCCCCTTACCCTTCTGGTATTGCTATTCCCACTCCTGTTCCTGGATTCTGTGTGCCATGAGCTCCCATCTCTTATCTATATGTGTGTCCATGTTCCGGTCTAGTCTGAATTGAGAAGCAGCATTTGGGTGATGGTAGTGGGGGATGAGGAAGCCTCAAGGAACCAGAGGAATGTAGTTTGTTTCATTGATGCTTTACTGCGCCCTGGTTGACTCATCCCTTCCCTCTGACCCCTCTGTGGGGGGATTGTTCCACTGTCTACAGATGGGCTTTGGAGCTCTTTCTGCTCCAACCCCCCTTGTTCTCAACAATATGTTTTGGTTTGTTATGTGTCTGCTGATGCCTATTACCCGGTCCCGATGACTCCTCATGATCGCACCAGCGGTGTGCTTCTTTCATGTGGACTTGTTGCTTCTCTGCTGAATGGCAGCTTGTGTAACTTCAAGCCTTTAAGACCCCAGATGCTATATATTTTAATAGCTGGGCACCATCCTCCTTCTTCACCACATTTGCTTATGCACCCGTTTTGTCTTCAGCAATTGTGTTGGGAGGGTGAACATCACAGACTGCCACTTAGTTAAGACAAAGTGTTCTTGTATTGAGGGGAGGGTATGAGCACAGGCCCGAAGTCCATCCCCGACCTCAGTGTATTGCCATATAAATATGTGTACATAGGCCAATGCTT